AATCCTGCTCCTCACATACAAGGTCTTAAATAATCAGGCCCCATCTTATCTTAATGACCTTGTAGTACCATATCACCCTATTAGAGCACTTCGCTCTCGCTCTGCAGGCCTACTTGTTGTTCCTAGAGTATTTAAAAGTAGAATGGGAGGGAGAGCCTTAGTCTGTTTTCCAGCTTCCAGACAGAAATGAATGTAAAAAGCAATTTTATAAGTAAAAAGAACCATTAGTGAAATTAAACATGCAATTCCATCCATCAGCTAAAATAAAACTTGTTTGAGGATTTTTTTAATGAGAGAAGCTGTTGAAAAATCTACTCCTTGGAATTATAGACTGAACTCAATAGAGTCTATCACTATTACAATCCACTGTTTCAGTCTTTCAAGTTGGCAGACTGTCAAAAATGACAAATAACAGTTTTGCTAATTTCACTTAATCTTAACCTCAAAACTCGGAGCATGTACATCCAGGTGACATGCTTCCTGCCAGATAACGATAAATATCAAAGTGTTCTCTGCATCAAATGTTACGCTGCAGTTTAAATTTCAGGGAGAAAACCTGGAAAAAGCACCAAGTTCAGTTTGGTGTGTGCAGAGTGTGAGCTGAGCAAGCTGTTGTGAAGTGCAGGAGGTGATTTCACTGCACACGCTCAGTCCTTCTGCAACGACACACGTCCAGTCCGCCCGATGCTCCAGATAAACTTTGCCTCGTCTGCACATTGTTACAAGTGCCTCACTGGATGCTGAGTTCGTGCTACATACGTGATGCAGCTTTCACCGATGTCCCACTTTCTCAGGGACGGACTCAGCTCGGTGGTTTCTGCTGCTCTGTGACACCTAAATGCTGACAGAGGAAGTGCTTTACATTGTTCTCCGAGACTGTAAAACGAAGCTGGACTTCAAATTAATTACAAGATGGATGACATGGAAAAATCTTTTTTCTGCACTGCTGATGGTAAATGTGAAGATTGTGTATCTGTATTCTTGGGAGTGCACCTCCATGTTGCTGGGAAAATGGGAAACAGCTGCAGCAATTTATTGAAACATACATGGAAATACAGCACATGAGGCAGAAACAGAGTTTGTGCAACTCTAACAAGCTTGACAGTGAGTGATTGGTATAACCATTTTTATAAAAAGTTCTGCAGGCTTCTTGAAGGACATTCAAAGCTGAATGGATGTTTCTGCCTTTTGTTCTGCTCTCTGTCAGGATGATCCCACACTGCTTTGATAAAGTTGAGGTCCGGGCTCTGGGGAGACCCATCCATACTGTTCCACAGTGTGCTTCTATCCAGGTGTTTGGGATCATTGTCCTGCTGAAAAATGCTTCTCTTCATTAAGAATGTCTTCCTGACAGCCGCCCTTCCACTGGTCCATTTCTGGTGAGGCTTCAGTGAACAGTTGATGGATCAGCTCTCATGTTCAGGATCTACACCCTCTCAAACATGGCTAAAAAACATACGCGTGAAAGGAGCAAGATGTATGGATGGAGGATGTTTGGTATGACCAGGGGTGAGATGCCTTAAAAGAGCATGGATGGGAAAAATTCTAGGCGATAACTCAAGAGTTGATAACTGGGGACATCCTGATCAGGAAAGCGGTGACACATCTTCAGTGGGAGGAGATTCACTGACTTGACCTCTAACGTCTGTTACCTTCTTAGTAAAGAAGCAAGCAAAGTCATGAGGTAGAGAGATGTCACCAGTGAAGGAGGACAGGGTGGAAAATCATTTCCTAGTGCATGGAGCAGGTGGATTTTGTAATGGAAAAATTCCATTTTTGCTGAAGTTAAGCTGGAGGCAAATGCCTAATAGGAGATTCAATGAGGTCCATAAAATTTCCAGGTTTAAGTTATTTTCTCTCAGAGTCTCTGAGATCTGTCTGCAGCTTGCCTAGATAGCAACGGCTGGGATGGAACAGCCTGAGCAGATATAATGGAAAGAGGAGTGAGATTGCCAGGCCCCAGTTAGAGTGGAATAGAGGGTATCTGAAGCATCATTTATTCTTGGAGGGAAGAATGAGCCTCGGCGGCGGTGGTGTGGAAATGAGCAGGCACGAGGTTACAGAGATTGTGTCAAAAAGAAACCATCAAATTTCTTCTTCAGTGAGGGAAGAAATGATCAAACCCACACCTGACAGTTCTGACACTCTTAACTTCACTGTCTGTGAAAGTGAGTGCTCTCTGCAGCTGCTGGGTCTCAGGTTTGCCATTTGTGCTCTCCCCCACCCAGATCCTGGTGCTGGCGGTCTCCTCCAGTTGAAACAGAGTTTGTCTCTACTGTGGCCGAGTGCTGCGAATGGGGTCTG